TATTCATTAACATGAGTGGTGTTCAAAAATTGCTGGAATGCTTGGATTGTGAAAAAAGCTATATGGATATCAAAACTTCCGCCAATATGATTACTCTGCAAAACACAGTATTATAATAGAATCTGATGTCAAAATGAACTTTAGAAAAAAATAGCTTTCAGCTACTTAAATGAATTGATTTTACATAAAAAACAATATCTTTAAGTAATGTAGCTCATGTTGTAAGAACTTGAACACAATCAATGCATAATTAGCAAAAATAAGAAGAATGACTCGTGGGTAATCTCATCATGTCAACCAATCCTTTTATTTGATTGGCAGCAGATCTGTTTTTACCCAGCCAACGAAATAACCAACAAAAATATTTCTATCTTTTTCCAACTCTTAGTTTTCTATGTTCATCGAAGGAATACATTTGATCTTATTTTGTTGATGTCAGTAAACTTGCCTTTAAGTCCGGGCATAGCACAAATCACTGTTTATTGTTCCTAACTGTGGCATTCATCCCTCCGACTTTTAATCTTCATATGGACTCTTTGCTTTCCTTTAAAGAGCAGAGTATTTAAAACTAGTCACTATTTATATTTAAGTAGATAATCAAGTATTACAATATTTCATAAGGGACCAACTGCATGTATTTTATGGACTATAAGGAGATAATACAGCAAGCACATTGTAAAGAAAGTACTGGTATGTGTATGTTTTGCTGACCAAAGATAAACAGAAGAAAAGTATAGTAAGTTATAAGGAAGTAAGGGCTTTTTCCAGGCCTTGATAATGTTATATGTGGGTCACTTTAACCTCTGCCTTGCTGATCTTCCGATATCTGGTGGCTGCCGCTTTCCCTCTATGATACATATTTCTGTGGCATTGATCATATAAATTCATATTGGTCCTTTATTCATCAGTTACCCATTACTTCCTGCTGCCATATAATAAATAAGTAAATAATCAAAAGCAAAGTAAAAGAGTAAAAATCTTGTAAGTTCCTAGATCTCCTCCTGTCTGGCTACTTCCAACCTCTAACTTGGTTTCCCAACATAAATCTTCTATGGTGACCAGATTGTAAGACACATTGACAATTCCCAATGCTTTAAGCTTTTCTACATAGAAACTTTCTGTTGATTCACCGATTTCCGCACCTGGTGTCTTCTTCATCAACCTGTCTGTACCTGCAAACCTGGTTCTATCTGCACAACGCCTAATCAAGAGCTTCAAGTCCCCAGGGGCTCTGCAGCAGCTGTTGCTTCCATACTTGACATTACAGAGAGATTCCATGGTATTCTGTGAGGTGACACCTCTTCAGCTTGGCTCTGACTTATGGTCACTTAGTGTCCCATATATGGCCTTACTTCTCCACTAATGCAACTCTGTGCTGGCCATGGTGCTTCTTGCATGAGAGGTAACCAATCAATGCTGCACTTTTTTTTTAATCTAATTGGTAATATTGAGTTTTCATTTGTAAGGACTTACCCTCTCTCATTTCATGTTTTCTCTAAACTACTTAATATTCTTTGATGTTTCCTGAATTTTACCTTAACATATTAGCTACATTCAATGGAAACTTCTTTGTGCCATGAGGCTTCACAAACACACATCTTGTCATTCCGTGATATTGTAAGTGGACTGAGTCCAAGTGTGTGTTTTCTCCTTTGCACCTCTGTGAGGGTGGGACAGAGTAGGTATTTTGCAAATTTGAGAGAATGGTCACCTGAAGCTGCAATGAAGGGATAAAGATGTGGTTGCTGTTAGGCACCAAAGCAAATATGAGACCAAAATTCAGAACATCAAAATAAAAATAATTAACTTCAGACCTGGTGTGATAGCCTAGTGGCTGGTGTCCTCGCATTATATGTGCCAGGATCCTATGTGGGCACTGGTTCATTTCTGGGTGGCCCCGCTTCCCATTCAGCTCCCTGCTTGTGGCCTGGGAAAGCAGTCGAGGATGGCCCAGACCATTGGGACCCTGTGCTCGTGTGGAAGACTCAGAAGAGGCTCCTGGCTCCTGGCTTTGGGTCAGCTCAGCTGCAGCCATTGTGGCCACTTGAGGAGTGGGTCAGTGGATGGAGGATCTTCCTATCTGTGTATCTGACTTTCCGGTAGAAATGGATAAATCTCTAAAAAAAAATAATAACTGCCTTCAAGAAAAGCTGACACTGCTTTCTAGGTTATGTGAACGTTCTTGGGAGCAGTTTGAATTCGTGAACCTTCAGCGGCTGCTTTGGGTTGAGTTGCTTCTGTGTTGAGTCAAAGCTCTGATTTAGAATCTAGCTCTGATTTAGAGTTGACCTGTGTGTTCCAATGCCAAGCAGTGTGAGAGTAGCTGCAGGGCCAACTCCAGGGTCTCCCGACCTTGGGAGGAAGCGGAGGGGGCAGCAAGGCAGGCTGGATTCTCACCTGCCTGAGGAATCCTCAGATGGAAGGATACAGAGGGAAGAGCTCTGCTGGAATCCCTCCTGGCTCCTGATGAAAGCTCTGTGGCCCGGGGACCTGGCTGGGGAAGTCAGTGCAAGCTCCATGGTGGACAGTCAATGTACAGGAGATTTTTTAAGAAAGATCTCTGTCAGAAGGTAAGGGAACTCCAACAGGGACTTGGTGAATAAATCATAAATGGGAGTAAAGCAGAAGCAACGGAGCTGAGCAAGAGAGTCCATGAAAGCAGCAAAGTCTGCTCCAAGAATAAGTGATGCCTGCTGCCCCTCAGGTCGTGCAGGGTGTCCTAGCTGCAGGGTGTCCTAGCTGCAGCATAGAACAGGAACCCGGGACCTTGAGAAGCAGGGAACATCCTCTGACCATGCAGATGAAACCTCATCAACCTCTTTGTCATTCTTCTCCTCCACAAACTCTGGTCTCTTAGGAGCCACACTTCTCATTTGGGGGTGGAGATCATGGAATAACAGGAAAAACAGGAGTGGTCATCTATGTCTTCCTTCAAGACAGCCTGAAATTGGCTCAGCAGGCAAAAAAGATTGAATTCTAAATTGCATTGAGACTTGAGATAACTACATGTGCCGGGCTGTTCTGATGACTACAAATTTTTAAAAAGTATTTGAGAGGCAGAGAAATCAAGACGGCTGAGGAGAGACATGGAGAGACTCTTCCATCTGTTAGTTCACTTCCCAAATAGCCACAACAGTAATGTCCATGCTAGGAGCCGAAGTTCTATCCTGGTGTCCCCTGCAGGTAACAGGGGCCCCAGCACTTGGGCCATCCTTCCAGTGCCCTCGCTGAAGTATATTCTGGAAGCTGCATGAGAAGCAGAGTAACCAGGACTTGAACTAGCACTATCCTATGTGATGCCAGCATTGTTAGGGCGGCTTAGCCTGCTGCATCACTGCCAGCTCCACTTTGATGTTCAATGGGCGGTTGTGACACTATTTGAAATGTAATCAGAAAAACTTATGAAGTTTTTTCTGGAGATTTTAATTCTCATTCAGGAAGTTATTCCCATTTCCTCTGTTTATAGGTGATGTGAAAGTTAAAAAAAAAGTGCTTTGCTTTGCTTGTACCTCAGGACAACATAGCTTGTTCCAGGCCATAAACCTAGTTGGGGGCCTGGTGCGATGCCAGTAGCTAAATCTTAACCTTGCTTGTGCCAGGATTCCATGAGTGTTGGTTCGTGTCCCAGCTGCTCCACTTCATCTCCAACTCTCTGTTTGTAGCCTAGGAAATTGGTTGAGGATGGTCCAGCACTTTGGGACCCTGCACTCATGTGGGAAACATAGAAGAAGCTCCTGGATGCTGGCTTTGCTTCAGCTCAGCTCTGGCCAACACGGCCGTGTAGGGAGTGAGGCAGCAGACGGAAGACCTTTCTCTCTGTCCCTCTTTCTCTCTTAAATCTCCTTTTCCAACAATAATAAATATGTCTTTTTAAAAACCCTAGATGGAATTCAGATTCAACTTTTTAACACACATATTTATGTGGTGTTATTTATTAGAGGTAAATGGGCAAACACAATTAGTACATTCATAATAATAAATGAGGATATTATGTAAACTATAAACTAATTTCATATTGGAATTTGAAATCCTAGTTAATTCCAGTTTAAATGTAGAAGTCCTTTGGAATTTAAGCCTCTGTTTTTCTAAACCTTCACTTCTTCTGTGAAAAGGAACTGAGAATTCATGCCTTGGAAATCTTAGAAGGTTTTGGTTCTCTGTAAGATCATGCAGAAGAAAGTGTGGGGCAAACTGGATTTATGCATTTGTCAGTTTTTGCTTCCACAATTATTCATTTTCACTTCATTGGAAAAGCATGTTCTTCTTATCCTCAATATATGAATATTAATAATTTTCTTATTGGATATTTTATAGGTTTCTTTGACCTGGAATTAGGGGAAAGGATAAGAGAAGGTGAATTAAAAACTGTAGGCAGGAGTGTGTTGTGGAATAGACATCTCCGCAGAATTACAGGGGAGGAGGAAGTAGGGTGTCCTCTGTAGACACCTTCCATGGCGAGATCTGTCTGCTCGCCTCACCCCAGTCAACCTGGCTTTGAGGATTTGTGGGGAAGTAGAGCCAATGCGATGATTCCAAGTAGAATACAGTGAAGGCAGCAGCCTGGGACACGGTAAGCTGAGCAAGGAGCCCTCTAATAAGTCATGCATAGCTAGACAGATAGCTTTGCTTCCCTCCGCCACGCCCCCTTTTTGTTTTTATGCTACTCAGTGGGGTGTGTGTGTGTGTGTGTGTGTGTGTGTTAATGGCATCTGAGTTACTCATGGGATTTGGTCTGCTATTTCTAGAACAATTCAAAGTGCACCATGACTGCACCTTTCTTTTATTATCCATGTGTGATTGTATCATCCATTTCACTTTCTTCCTATGCTACCTACATTCTAGTCTCTTCCATTCCTAAACTTGAGTTAACTCTGTACTTCAACAAGATTATGCCTGAAAATCATTTGAAACCTCTTTTCCAATCTATATATTTTATATATGTGTATGTACATGTATATATGTATATACATAGCTATAACCTGTTCTTTGTTATTCAACAGGAGTGCACTGTGAAGAGGACATCAATGAATGCTCTTTGAACCCTTGCCAGAATGGTGGTACTTGTGATAACTTGCCTGGGGGTTACACTTGCCGATGCCCATCTGATCATCTTTCTGGAGCGTTTTATGGAGGAAAAGACTGTTCCGACATACTCCTCGGCTGTACCCACCACCAATGCCTAAACAATGGAATTTGCATTCCTCATCTCCAAAATGGTCAGCATGGATTCAGCTGCCGATGTCCATCTGGCTACACAGGATCATTGTGTGAAACCATCACCACACTGTCATTTGAGGGCAATGGCTTCCTGTGGGTCACAGGTGGCTCAGATGCAACCAAGGGTTCAGGGTGCACCATGGCCTTCAGGTTTCAGACTGTCCAGTTGATGACGATTCTGCTTCTCCAGGGTAACAAGGACATGTTTGCACTGCTGGAGCTACTGAATGGCTTTCTTCATTTGCTAGTCCAAGTCCGTCATGAGTCCAGGGTACTCCTGTACGTCGCCTGCAACACCAGCGATGGGGCATGGCATTCCGTGGAGGTCACTTTTGCAGAGAATGTGACCCTTACCTTAATGGAGGACTCCTGTGAAGATGGATGCGTTGCTACAGCTCCTTCTCCGTTTCAAAGGGATCAGTCAATATGTGCTTCACACAACTCCTTTTTAGGTGGTTTTCCAGTGGGAGCTGTCAACAGTATCATCACACTACTTAACATCTCTGATATACCATCCAAACCTTCCTTTGTAGGCTGTTTCCAAGACATTAAAATTGATTCAATTCACATTACCTCGGAGAACATCTCACATGGCTCATCGCTAAACATCAAGGCAGGTTGTGTGAGAAAGGACTGGTGCGAAAGCCACCCTTGTCACAACAGAGGACGCTGCACCAACCTGTGGCTTGGCTACCAGTGTGATTGCTACAGGCCTTACACAGGCCCCGACTGCCTGAGAGGTGAGAGAAGGTGGGACACCTGCAAGCATTGTGTGTCCAAGCATAGTCACTGCGCAAGCAGCAATGACCCCTTAGGACTTCTGCTGCTGATTGCCTCTGATGAGAGCCAGTGAAAGGGGGAGTGATGTGTGTGAGTTGGTTTTGAATGGATTCAAAGGACATGCAAAGGTTTCACTCATGTAGAGAAGTAATAAGCCCATAGTTCCCAACCCAGTGAATTTTCATCTTGCTGTCTACCAGATACCATGATAATATAACACTCACTGAATATCAGAAATGTATCATGACTCCTATTAAAAGAAATAGTATTGAGAGATAAAGAAGTTTCTGGTGTGAAGCTCATCAATGCTGTGTGCAAGCACGTTATCATAGTCACTTCCTGCTCTCCACATATGCAGTTTACGCTTACTCTAGACTCATGGTTAGGTCTAGCACTCATTTTACTCTGAGATATCATTTCCTGAGGTGTATTAGAAAGGGCAAATGTACTGCTTATGTGTTTGCTTGTTTGTTAATTTGCTGGAAATTCAGATATACATAGAGGAGTAGAGACAGACAGTAAGATTTTCCATCTGCTAATTCAGTCCCTAAGTGGGTGCAACAGCCAGAGCTAAGCCGATCCAAAGCCGGCAGCCTGGAGTTCCCTCCAGGTCTCCCATGTGGGTGTGGGGGTCCCAAGGCTTTGTGCCGTCCTCGACTGATTTTCTAGGCCACAAGCAGGGAGCTGGATAGGAAGTGGGGCCTTCAGGATATGAACTGGGACCTCAGGGATATGGTGCCCATATGGGACCCCAGAGAGTGCAAGGAAGGAATTTTACCTGCTAAGCTACTGCACTGGGCCCTGCTTATGTGTTTTAAGTAAAAGAAAATATATAGGAGAGAAGGAAGGAAGGAAAGAAGGGAAGGAGGGTGGGAGGAATTAAGGAAGGAGGGAAGGAAGGAAAGAAGGAAGGGAGGGAGGAAGGAAGGAAGGAAAGAAGGAAGGAAAAGATGAAGGGAAGGAAGGAAGGAAGGAAGAAATGAAGGGAAGGAGGGAAGAAAGGAAGGGAAGGAAGGAGGGAAGGAAGGAAGGAAGGAAGGAAGGAAGGAAGGAAGGAAGGAAGGAAGGAAGGAAGGAAGGATGGAAGGAAGGAAGGAAGGAAGGAAGGATGAATAACAATAGTAGCACTTGGTAGATGCTGTAGAGTTGATATAATGTCTTTAATCACATTTTGCAACATACTTCAAAATTCTTAATTTTCAGTGTCATTCTGCAGATGGCGATCGATGGCAATGCATACCTGTTTGGGTTTTGTTGCCATCATGCGTTAAAATCTGTGAGGGATTCATTGCATGCAGCACTGAAGCTGAGCTGTAATTTACTCCAAGGTTGCAGAGTGAGCTCAAGTAGGGCATTTGGTAAATAGTCTTCCCTGCTTTCTATGAAGTAAAATTAAAACCAGTCTTAGCCAAACCCTAGGCCATGTTCAAATGACTAAGAATTATTAGAAACAACCCACAAGCGTCCCCAACCGCAGTACTCATTACAAATCACGGCTCTGTTTGGCAATGAGGTATGGCATCTCGTAGCGCCATGTAATATTTTAAGTAGAGTGGCAAGTTGTTTGGCAATTTTTTTTAAAAAAGGAGGAAATTGTGCTGAGGCAGTATTCACTTTCTGAAGAAAAATTTAATTGACCTGAGGCAATATTTTTACTACATAGACAAAATAACAAACAGATGCGGCTTCATTCTGACTGGCTTCCAGACGCAGTGACCCACGAGGTTAATATTGACCGTGGAGATGCTGAGTGTCCTAAGCGATACACTCAGGGGAAGCCAATACACCGGGCACTGGTTCTTTATTTTTTTCAAACCTGGGAAAATAATGAACTTTTTAAACAAAGCTATTGACTTAGTGACCCTACCGCTTTCGTCTGAAATCGCCACACTATGTGAACATTGTTTTGAAAGATGACTTCAGAGGGAGGCAGCTATGTAAGATCTTTCTACCTCCTGAAAATTCTTAGTAAAGTTATAAGGAAAATTACGTTTTTCACATCACTTGCTAACAAAAAATTAGAGTATCCTGTATTTGTGGTTATCTATGAGGAACGTTTTGGGGGAAATTATTCCCATTACAAAAAAAAAAGTGCTTTGAAGCAGTAATGAGAACAGGGAGTCTCTCTGTGTGTTCAAAACAGAAGCAACACACAGAACAACACCCAGGCAAGCCTCACTCAATCCCTGGTTTTACATCAGCATTCCACGGCCATAACACACACTGTAATGAACAAGCAGACAATATACAGGATTTTCTTGGTTACCTAAACTCAAAAGACATAGAAATTCCCAACATCTTAAAGGTGATCTTTTAAAGAATCTTCTAATCTCTCAATGAGGAGAATTTTGCAGGTTTCCCAGCATACAGCTCCCAGCGATGTCTGCAAGGCTGTCCTAGCATGACGCTGTGGGTCTCTCGTATTACAGAGCTTCCAAGGCAGTTGTTCAGAATAAAGGCATCACCTTTCTCTTAACCTCTGGAAAATATCTGATTGATAAAACAGTAATGTCTAATCTTCAGTCCTACATACGGATTTTGAAAATGCTATAGTCTTAGAACTACATTTCTTCAATGTAGATGGGACATCACTGGTCCAAGCCTCTGGTTAAATACCTTCAGGAATGGATTACTCCATCTCAACAACAAAAACCTAAACATGTTTTTCCCTTTTATTTAAATATGATCTCTTCATGGCTTTTAGTCACTAACCACACTGTAATTCTTGAAGGCATACAAACAAAAAACGTTACCATGTCTTTCTCCTTAAAATACTAAATATTTGAAAGAAAGTATCTGGCACTGTGCAAACTGCACGCTGCCATTGTATTCAAAGGTGTGCCATATGATGTAGTTTCAGATGCTTCCCCAACTGCCTTCTTGCTTGGGAATAAGCAGACCTATCTTCCTTCCTTCTAAAATGTGCTGCCTGCATCTTCTTGAGGATTCAAAATGACACAAGACCTTGAGCTCCCACACTCTGCATTAGATGCTTATCCTGTGGTAACCTCGTTGTACGATGGCCTCACTTTGCGCTGCTGTCATTCACAATACCAGAGCTGTGTATTCCTCATCATTAACCAAGGAGGGCATAGTTAAATCTAAGTAACTTCTTGCTAATTCTTATTAAATTTCACCTTATTAAAATCCAACTAAAACTTGCCAGGATTATTTCTCATCAGCACATGTTATCTCTCCATCATACAGCATCACATCCAGAGGCAGAGTGTCCACAGTTGAGTCATTTGTGGCTTCATGTGAATCTAAAAGCCATGGATCGAATGAATTGCGCTCTCACTTCCTCTGTGTGATTCTAAAGAATAGGGTTGTTGGAGAGTCCAGCTTCTGAGAAGAGTGTACAACAGCCCTGCATTCTGCCTTTTCATCTGGATCCACAAAGCGATGCTGCAGGCATCCTAGGATGACCTACAGGATCCTAGCACCCCTGAGGTTGAGTGATTCAGTACAAATCTTCAAACCTCATCAACTTCAAGAAACAGGTTTTCTTACTACACATTTTATCTCATATGAAAGTGCTGTGGTACATTCAGAGATGTTAATCTCTTCAAAGGCTTATTTTATCTAACAGTCTGCTTTGAAAGCTACCTGTAGTTGCCTGAAGCAGGTGGTCTTAAAATGTGGATTCAAATGCTGCATTCCTTTAGGAAATTCAGTGTGACGTATCAAAATGTTGCCTTTGACTCAGCACTCCTTCAAATGCAGATAGCTGCTTCAGCAGTTCAGCTTAACTTCAACACGTCTTACTTCTCTCCAAGCTTTCACTGGACTGTGTGATGACATGAAAATGTGCTATTATATAATCCTCTCCTAAGTGGGACTGGGATGTTAAAAACTGGGAAGACAGAAGTAGCTTTAGGATCATGTTGCTTTCAAGCTCATCATTGATGTTCCAGATTGCGAAACTGACTGACCGCTCATGAAGCGTTAACACAGCTGAATACTTGCTTCCCTTGAAATCTTTCTCCTCATTAGCCTTCTAGGACATAATCCTCCCCTGTTCTCCTCTCATCTTATTGGCTGTTCCTTCATCATCTCCCTTATCTCCAATTCTCTAATCTCGATGAACTCAGTTTTGGGGACCATTTTCTCAGCATATTTCAATTCTTATAATCACTTCATCTAGTCTTGTGGCATTAAAGAACATAGATTATATATATCAATGACAAATTATTATAGCTAACACAGAATGTCTTTCCAGAACCACTAATTATTTCCATCTGGATAACTATTCGGCCATCTAAATTTAATTCAAACTTGCACTTACCAAAATAATCAGCAGGTTTCCTCCTCATTTCTGAAAATCCAGAATTCCAATTGTTTGGGCCCCAAATCGCCAATACAAAACCTGCTGCAGAAAATTCTATCATTCTACCATCAAACTAATTTGAGGGGAGTCATTCAGGCTAGCCTGCCAGTTAAGGGAGCTGTGTCCCATGTTAGCGTGCCTGAATGCAGTATCTGGCAGCTCCTGAGCCCAGGTTCCTGCTATTGAAAATCCTGGGAGACAGTGGAAACGGCTCAGTAACTGGGTCCCTAGCACTTACGTGATAGTTCTGGGTTGAGTTTCTAACCATAGGATGCCTTTCTCTCTCTCTCTCTTTCTCTCTCTCAATACAGACATAATTAAAACTTTAAGATGTTTTGGAAAAATCTTCCACTGCTCATTGGATCTATGATACTATGAGCCAAGCCATTGTCATTTCTCTCTTGAATTACTACAATAACGTTCCTACTTCCTTTGGATTTTTGCTCCAATGTTACCTTTTCAGAACCCTTCACTAATTATTCATTTTTAAAAGATTAATTTATTTTTATTGGAAAGATAGATTTCCAGAGAAATTTTATTCCTCACATGGCCACAATACTAGGGCTGAGCTGATTTGAAGTCAGGATCTAGTAGCCTCCTTTGGGTCTCCCATGTGGATGTGAGTCTCAAGGCCTTGGGCTGTCCTCTGCTACCTTCCTATTCATCAGGCAGGGAGCTAGATGGTAAGTGGAGTGGCCAGGACACAAACAGGGGCTCATATGGGATGCTGGTGCTTGCAGGTGGAGGATTAGTTCATTGAACCATGGCACTGGCCCTCCCAGTTATTCTTTTAAAAATCACATCTCCATTCACACTCCCAAACTTCCCCTTTTGTTTTCTCTACATGAGTTACTTTTTTTTTTCACTAATATATTCTCATTACCTGACACATTATATAAGATCCTTGCCTGTCTGCATCCAGTGCCTTCCCCAACTAAAATGCAATTTTTTAGCTCTTATTGTATCACCAATGTTTTAAAATGCCACATTGAGCTTTGACACATCTCAAGAGTTTTGTTGTTGAAATGGGCACATATCAACAGAACAGCCACATCATTGTACTCCGAACTTCTCCAATGACAGAAAACACTGCGGGAGCTCAGAACTCAGCTTAGCTCAATACCATGCTTTGTTCATGCTTCTCCTGCTCCAATCCACCACAAAAGAAGAGCAGTTTTCCCTTTGTACAAATGCTTGTTTCTGATTATGAGGATTGTCAGCCACAAAGAGGCTTTACCACCCTAGTTCTTGATTTGTGACATTCTCACAAATAGTTGGACTTAGATATGTTTGTTCAGCATGCCTCCAAACAGAAAATATTTCTTATACAACTTCAAGTATAGGAGTGTCTGATGTTCTATCACCTGAGTTCATCTTTTTCCTCTTTTGTGTTCAGTGAGCCTTCACCGTAAACTATAGACCAAAATTTTGTCATTTGTGAAATAATGCAGAAGTTCAGAAAAGGAGTCTAAATGATACCTCTATTTAATGAACCTGTCTTGTGCTTTTAAAAGTGTGTATACATTTATAAGGGTGAACAAAATCTTTGTCTCCCATTTCTCCCGACTTTGTAATCATAAAATGTTTCTTCTTTTGTTTCTGGTCCTCAATCTTGACCCTCAAGAATATGTAGCAGGCAGATTTGGGCAAGATGACTCCACTGGATATGCCGTCTTTAATCTGGACAAGAATCATGGGGAGAATGTTAGCATCTCCATGCTTGTACGAAGTCATCAACCATCGGGCTTACTTCTAGCTCTGGAAAACAGCACTCATCAGCATATCCGTGTCTGGCTAGAACAGGGAAGACTAGCAATGCTGACTCCAAGCTCTTCCAAATTAGTAACAGAATTTGTTCTTAGTGATGGAAATGTCCATTTGATATCTTTGAAAATGCAACCAAATAAAATTGAACTCTATCAGTCTTCACAAAACCTAGGATTTATTTCTGCTGCTACATGGAAAACGCAAAGAGGGGATGTTATCTACATTGGTGGTCTGCCTAACAGACAAGAGACAGAGGTTAGTGGTGGGTTCTTCAAAGGCTGCATCCAAGATGTACGATTAAACCATCAGAATCTGGAGTTCTTCCCAAATTCAACAAATAATACTTCCTATAACCAAGTTCTTGTCAATGTGACTGAGGGATGTACTGGAGATAACTTATGCAAGGTAAGATTATTCTCACCAACTACAAATGTACCATGTGATTGACTATTATTTTGCTAAAGAGACAGTTTGCAAGAGTCATTCTGAAAAAGTTAATGACCCAACAGTCATACAATAACATCTCATCTCCAATGTTACATCAGAGCCTGGAGATATAGGTTTATTTCCAACAATGTGGCCTTGATTGAGCCAGCATCAAGACAGATTTAACCAGTCCAGATAACTCTTTCTTTTAAAAGCAACTACTTTTTTTTTTTTTAGATTTATTCGTTTTTATTGTAAGGTCAGATATACAGAGAGAAAGAGAGACAGAGAGGAAGATCTTCTGTCCGATGGTTCACTTCCCAAGTGACTGCAATGTCCAGCGCTGCGCTGATCCAAAGCCTGGAGCCAGGAACTTTCTTCAGGTCTTCCATGTGGGTGCAGGGTCCCAAGACTTTGGGCCATCCTCAACTGCTTTCCCAGGCCACAAGCAGAGAGCCGGATGGGAAGTGGAGCTGCTGGGATTAGAACCGGCGCCCATATGGACTTGGTTGCAAATATACACACATGAATAATTGTAAAATCATTATAAGAACACTTCCAATGTCCTAGCTGCTGTTTGCCACAGATCAGTCCTTTTGTTTCCTTTGAAGCAGGTATGGTCAAAATTCTTATTAACACTATATGCATATTTAAAAGACTAGAGGTTAGGAAGATTCTACACGAAAACTAAATCACTGTTATTGGTATATCTGGGATGAAGTCTGTGTTCTGAGAACATATTCTGAGCTTGGTGTAGCACAATAATCTTGTGGCTGGAGTTCTCACCTTGCAGGCACTGGGATCCCATATAGGTGCCAGTTCTAAACCTGGCAGTCCAACTTCCGATTCAGTTTCCTTCTTGGGACCTGGGAAAGCAGTCGAGGACAGCCCAAAGACTTGGGACCCTGCACCTGCGTGGGAGACCCGGAAGAAGCTCCTGGCTCCCAGCTTTGCATTGACTCAGCTCCAATCATGGCAGCCACTTGGGGAGTGAACCACTGGGCGAAAGATCTTCTCTATCTCCTCTATATATTATATATCTAACTTTCCAATAAAATATTAAAAATAAGGAATGCAAGATTATGATCGTCATGTTTACAAAAAAAGAAAGAAAAGAAGATATTCTGTGAGTTGCCTTATAATAATAAAATGGGTCCAGTTCTGAAACAGAGTATCTCAGGAGTGGGTTATCAATGAACTGAATGTACAAGATCACATTCTCTCCTATATCAAGTATTTGTGGCATCTTGAGCAAACAGAGGGCATCTGATCCTCAAAGAATGAATACATGGGAAATTGCCTGGGAACTTGCAGTTTACAAGTAACGCTGTTATACTTTTAAAAATCCTTGTGTTATAGAACGATTTTATATCATTTCCCTTTTTCCCTTTCCTTCATGCCTATCTGTCCTATACCCTCTCCCTCTTCCACCTCGCTTTTCTAGAAAGGATTGAAAACTGGAGCAATTGTTTTTTTTTTCTGTTCAATTAAAAATAGGTGTTGAATTAATCAAATATATGTAAACACAGGGAAATCAGCAGCTAAAGATAACAGACATATGCCGTCACCCCTTCCTATGTAACTTCCGGGACTCTTTCCCTTTGAATTCCTTTCCGCTCAGGCCGAGCCCTGCCACAACGGAGGTGTGTGCTACTCCCTCTGGGATGATTTCTCCTGCTCCTGCCCCGCACACACAGCTGGCAAAGCCTGCGAGCAGTTCCGCTGGTGCCTTCTCAGCCCGTGCCCTCCCACAGCCTGGTGCCAGGTGGTACCTCAGGGATTTGAGTGTAAGTACAGTTCACACTTACCACCCTCCACAGCAACGTGGGGGCCTTCAGTTTTCCCAGGGAGAAGATCTACAGGAAAACTCTAAAGATTGCCTTGGAAAACACTGCGTGAAAATAATGGAATGGAACTAGAGGACACAACGACCTGTCGGTGGCCTAATATTAACTTAGCCTGGGCCCCAAAAGGTTTGAGAAAGAGGAAAATGTATTTACTTTTAAAAAGACTTATTAATTTTACTTGAAAGTCAGAATTACATGGAAAGAGAGAGAGAGGGGAGAGAGAAAGAGAGAGAGAGAGAGACAGAGAGAGAGATGGAAGATTTCCATCTGCTGGATCCCTTCCCCAATGGCACTGGGCTGGTCAGAGACTAAGAGCCAGGAACTTCTTTTGGGTATCCCACATAAATGCAGGGTGAAAGGACTTGGTTCATCCTTTGCTGCTTTCTCAGACCATTATCAGTGAGCTGGTCAGAAGTGGAGCATCCAGGACTCAAACCATCACTCATATGGGATCCTGGCACCACAGCTGGAGGATTTGTGTGCTATGCCACTGCACTGACCCTTGTATTTAATTTTATACTTCTGAAGTAAAATATATATATATATGTATATATATATATATAGAGAGAGAGAGAGAGAGAGAGGCTTATGTGAAATACTTTACGCTTGTATACCCTTGGGTAAATGTACCTGAAGACTTTATAGACATTTATATTTCATATTTTTTGAATGGGTACTACCCATATGTACAATGCACAATGACTCAACATAAAGTGTCTAATCTGGTTTCTAATGTGGTAAATTGTGACCTTTTTCATTTTCTGTCTCTGAACTACTTATCTGAAACAATTTGATCATTAATTAATTTTATTGATAATTTGAATGCAAATACTAAAGTTGTTGGCCTCAAATGCATTGCACAGAAGGGCTCAAGTCATTTTGGACATTTTCACAGGGAAGAAAGGTTAGAATTTCTAAAGCAGAGGCAGCTGAGGAACGAAAGCCAGGCTGTGCACCTGAGCATGACCGCTGGCATGTACGCCTTCTTCTGGCTGTGTGGAGAGGGCCATGCAGGGTTTGGACACTTACACATCAGAAAGCAGACACGTGACCTTTTACTGCTATCATGTTGTTGCTACAGAAGGAGTAGAAAACCTGGCTCTGCCACCCCAAGACCAGGGCTGGGAAGGAGGGCATGTCTTCAGGCCATGACAAGAAGCCTCTGTGTTGGTAGCTTCTAAAGAAAGTAATCTAGGAACCAGAGCACATAGACTCTCTTGGATAGTGTTTAAAATTCAAGATTTCTTTCTAGATGGAATGAAAATTAATGGAGGTACCTTTTGATCTTAGGAGAGGTTGTTCGATGGATTGGCAGTCATAGAAATTGGGACACAAAGAAATAACCAGCCAGCATGAATTGGCTGTAATATCCGAGAAACAAGGGAATGGCAGTGTTCTAAGCTCCATTGCTTTTGAAAAATGTGGCAAAATGAGAACAGAAAATTGAACACTGGACTGAAAAAACATACAGGTCATTGTGATCTTGACACTGGTTTCATTGGATTGACCCAGGGCTAAAGCCCAAGTGGCATGTCTTAGAGAGAAAATGGGAGATGGGAATGCAATGAGAAAATGGAAGTGTGAAGACAAGTGTTGCTGACAGTGAAGACAGAGAAATAAGGACGCAAGGGGATGGGGGGATGTTAGGGTTGGGCTTTGAGGAACTGTGTGTGTTTATTTTTATGATGGGAATAGTTAGAACACATTGCATACTGAAAGGTTAAAAAAATGGGAGGGTAAATCATGGTGCAGGAGAGAAAAGGGGTGCCCTAACAAGGTGAGAATGAGTGGAAGCCAGTTCTGGGCTGGAAGAGTTGACCGTGAATGACTGTAAGGGTTGGCATCCATGAAGGCAGGATGGAGGCAGAGTGCACCCAGGCTGCACGAGCAGATTTGATGAAAACCGGGACGGTTCTCATTTCTCCTGTTTCCATAGGACCATGCCATGGGTAATCATAAACAGGAAAAATAGCACAGTTCTGAATCAACAACATCGGCTACTTAACATTTCCTTCTCTCCATAGGTGTTGCAAATGCGGTTTTCAGTGGACAAAATGGTGACATATTGTTCCGAAGCAATAGGAACATAACCAGAGAACTTACCAATATCACATTTGGTTTCAGGACACGAGATGCAAATGTGCAGATTTTACATGCTGAAAAAGAACCTGAGTTTCTTAATGTTAGCATTCAAGATTCCAAATTATTCTTTCAGTTACAGAGTGGCAATAGTGTTGATCTGGTGAGTCTGAAAAGTAGTCAGCCAGTGAATGATGGCATGTGGCAACAAGTGACGCTTTCCATGACAAACCCACTAGCCCAGGTGTCCAGGTGGCGGATGGAAGTGGACCACCAATCACCTGTGAGAAGTGCAGTTGCCACTGGGAGTCTCAACTTCTTGAGGGAAAATACAGACATTCATGTTGGTGATCCAGTTATGGACAACGCGAAGGGCCTGAAAGGATGCCTAAGCACAATTGAAATTGGAGGCATTTATCTCTCTTACTTTGAAAACGTGCAGGGTTTCACTCATAAGCCCCAGAAGGAGCAGTTTCTCAAAGTCTCCAGAAACCCAGTGGTTACAGGATGTTTACAGTTGAATGCCTGCATCCCCAACCCCTGTTTGCATGGAGGAAACTGTGAAGATATCTACAGCTCTTATCACTGCTACTGTCCCTTGGGATGGTCAGGGGCACACTGCGAGCTCAACATTGATGAATGCTTGTCCGATCCCTGTGTCCATGGTAACTGCTTTGATGGACTTGCAGCCTACCACTGCAGGTGTAAGTCTGGATACACTGGTGTGAACTGCGAAGTTCACATAGACAATTGCCAGGGTCATCAGTGTGCAAACGGAGCCACCTGCATTAGCAACACCAAGGGCTATTCTTGCCATTGTTTGGAAAATTTTACAGGAAAATTTTGCAGGTGAGTACAAAGTCCATTTGAACCTAGATCTTTGGAGTGGTGCTCTCCATTTTCCTTGTCACGTGGGAAAGCTCTGTCCTCAAGGTACACAGGTATACTGCACAGAAGGCGGCTAACCCTGGACTCTTCCATAACAATTTGATCTTTAAAAGACAGGATTTCTCTTTTGAGAAGCACCATGGATAAAAATTACAGTGCTTTAATCAGACTTCTGGCAAGATGTGTTCTCATTCATCTTGACCAGAATATGTGTTAAGAGCTAGAGCTCCCAGAAGCCTCAAGCTTCTGGGAACAAATACATTGACAATAAATTCAAACACTGGACCTTGTTATTAGGGAAGGTAGTGGTCCCACTTTTAAAATAACTCTCTGGGTTATGTCAAAGATCCTAAAAAATTAAAGTGCAGGCATTTATTCTTTTTTAAGATGTATTCGTTTTGTATTACAAAGTCAGATATACAGAGAGAAAGAGAGACAGAGAGGAAGATCTTCCATCTGCTGATTCACTCCCCAAGTGGACCCAATGATCAAAGCTGAACTGATCCAAAGCCAGGAGCCAGGAGCCAGGAGCTTCTTCTGGGTCTTCTACCTGGGTGCAGTGTCCCAAGTTTTGGGCCATTCGTCACTGCTTTTCCAGGCCACAGACATGGAGCTGGAAGAGAAGTGGAGCAACTGGGATAAGAATTGGTATCCATAAGGGATCCCTGCACATGCAAGCCATGGACTTCAGAAACTAGGCTGTCACACAGGACCCTAAAGTGCAGTTTTTAAAAGGTGAAATTAGACTCTCAAGCAAATAAAAAATGAAACTATTTGTATCATTTTTCACTAATTAATAGGGGACCTAGTAAATGTCAAAACCAGTTCAAAGGACAATCCAAACAGTGTGTGTGTGTGTGTGTGTGCGAACAAGAAACAGAGGGAATGCAGAACTGTTAATATGCTGTCAGGGAAAAAATCAGGGATTAAAATGATCATTTCTAGAATGCGGCAATTGAATTGCTGTACACAAAATCCATTTGCATTTTGATGAACAAATTTCATTTGTATTAACATCATTTTCTACAGTTTACAAAGTTGTAATAAAGATTATTTAAAAATAGAAAAATAAACGAAGGCATATACCACTACAAGAAAGGAGAATCCTAGAGACTCTTTACAGGACACTCGGCTTCCGGTTAAAGATTATCCCGTGTCTCTTTGTGCCTTAAGAAGTACTTCATCCTTATGTTCTAGAGCTACAAAAGAAGCCTTTTAGTTTTATTCATTATCTCCATTTCATGTTATATAAACAGAAATAACAAATAATATTTTTCTCTAAGTCATATTGCTTCAATATTTTCATGTGAGTACAAATTGTTATACCACTTTGAATTTACTAAATAATTAGTCCAGCATGGGAAGGTTGGTGGGTAATTTCTTAATGAGTAATATATTCCAGGACTTTGCCAAGAACGCATGACGTGGGTTGTCAGCCAGCAGGCCTGACACCAATTCAGGAAGTGGATATTTGAGTTGCATGAATCCTCTAGGAGAATAATGCATAGCCGTGTATGGATTGTATTTCTGGAATATTGATTGGTGTTCGAGATCTATGAAGGAAGGGCACAGTGACAGGTACTGAGTGTTGACACTGAGAGGTTACCTCCTATGTAGGAACTGACTCATTTGCCAATAGATTACTGGTATGTTGAAAAGGAAAATAAGTTCAGATGAAAGTCAGTATTCTGTGATGACTTTGGATCAGTTAAATAAATGTTTAGTAACTTGTTTTGCTGAACAATTTTCTGCCTAATTCATCAAAATCAAGTTCTCAAAGACTGAACTTCTCCAAAGTATCAAATAATGAGATTCAGAAATTGTGTTTTGAAGCTAGGATGTATATAAAGTTCCTATTTGCATTGCTAATTGACCTTCCTCAAAGCTGGTTGACATTTTCAGCTCTTTTGAAAGTCCTTATGATACTTCTTTAACATAGAATTGATAAGTTCTGGCGTGCTGTAGTCAGATTCTCTGTTTTAGCTGCAACACACAACACAACATAATTCAGTTCTCTGTATATTTCCTGAAGTCATATTATTCAGCTCAGTATTGCACGTGCACAGTATGAGTCAGGGAACAATCTGAAGGTCCTGAAAATATCAGTCCTTTCAAGCCGCTGGGTTTCACCTTTAATTGCTTAGCTTCTTAGTATGTGTTCTACATGATGTAAGGGCTCTTTAACATGTGCTGTTTTGTGACTATCCAAGGGAGCCATACTCAGAATTCACATGCAGATCCGATTGAATGCTACACACAAACCTCCCAGAAAGCATTGGCTTGCATTCTGTATCGCCATGAATTATTAGATAGGAAACAGCAAGTCTTGGCAGGGAAACTACAGTTCAGCTCTGAAAGCCAACAGAGAAATCACATGAGTACTTGGGTACCAAAAGTGTTGTCCTTGCTTCCCTGGCCTTTGTACAGATGAAATTTTCCCGTGGCCTTTGTTGATTTATTGGCAAAGCAGCAGCAAGTCTAGCTATAGCAAGTTTCTTTCCAGTACTAAATTTATTGCCACTCCATAGCATAGGTCCCATCTCATGAATGAGAACTGTGGAGTAGTGGAAGATGGATAGCCATGCTTGTTGCACACCCTCCAGCAGAAGCTTTATGCATTTGTGACTCCTTCAGCATGAGTGCTTAATTAGCTTGACATTGATTATATATGTGAACTTTGCAAAAGTGTTTTTGAATGAAATGAACAAGACAAACAGCTGTGCCTATACACTTATCTCCCTAGACACAACAGATTACCCCTGGCGGTCTGTGGGAATGGGAAGACAAACCACACTTGCTACAACGGAGGCAACTGCACAGAGCTGCTGGCAGGGTTAAAATGTACTTGCCGGCCTGGTTTTACTGGAGAATGGTGAGTCACACTAGAATTTGATGGGAAAAAATCTGGGTAAAGAACAGAAAATTCACTTTCTCCTTGACTTTTCAATCTCAGTTCCCATAAGAAAATGTAGGCTGAAATGTAGGTTGAGGTAGAGTCAAGCAATAAAAAAGAAGAAAAATGATACTTTAGGTCAAAAGTAGAGAACACTCTATCAGCCAAGGCTTCTAATAGGCAAACTTGAAAACAAACAAACAAACAAAAAAACCAAACATCAACATTGTAATGTAATTGCTGTTTTTCTTTCTTGTAAATACTTCAGTATTCATGATCCCCCACCCAACCCTCATTAACTCTAACATATGAAGTAAAGATCCAGATTGGCTGACAGAATTACCCACACACTCCACATCCATGGAGTTCTCTGTTTCCTAGAGAAACCGTTCAACTCTTGTTCACCAGATACAGGGACTGTCAAGGCGTCGATCAGGAACCAGCCCCACACACAGACAAATCTGGATGTGCATTTGGCTAGTCACAGGTGAGGTCAAGGGGGAAAGTGCATGCTCCATAGCTTATCAGACTTGTGTTCCCCAAACAGCTGCAAACTCGGGCTCCACTGGATAAAGATATTCCGTAAATAGGTAATAGCTAACCATCTAGTTAGCATTCTATCATGAAACCTAGTAAATATTGCCTAGTTCTTAGAGGTCTGCAAGGTTTCATTATTTCTTGGTGTGAACCAATTGTGAGCAACACATTAGGCAACAAAGCATCTATTTAGATAGAATTAAGCTGCTTTCAAAGCCTTTGGTCATCTTTAGAAGATGTCCATACAATTACATGAATACATTTTGTACATTACAATGAAAAGAAAACAGAGAAAGAGCTTCTCCATCTTATTAATCATTCTGGGTTAGATATGTAGATGTCGAATCAAACTTCTTACATTGAACAGATCAAATAAGTTAAAATCAAACATATTTGACAGTTTTTACTGCTATGTACTAAGATGATACGTATATTTTTGTTTCATTAGTATTACACTTTGGATTGATTTGAGGTTTCTCTTTTTAAGCTGGCTGTTTGGCCATCTCACAGATTATTTCTTTTACCATTTTTATGAAATAGCAGGAAACTCCCAGTGTTAGTGTCTTTTACGCTCACTCCCAGTCTGCCAGCTGTGGGCTCAGGGCCCTGCAGCCCTTGCGTATTTGCGTGAAAGAGAGAAAGAGCTCATTGACACTGAACTTTCAATTGCATCAGAGTCTATCCAGTTGGCTTCTGTTTACATACATAATACAGCAAATAGCATCCTCAAGCTCATACAATCCTTAAGTCTCTCTAAACGCTGGCTGTTTTGTGGTTGGAAGCCACCGTTTCTGCTCACCCAAAGCCTTGGCACTCATCCTATTTACATCAAACATTTTTGTTTTTTTAGTTTTTTTATATATATATTCCCTTAAAATCAAATTTAACCTTTAAATCTAAATCATTAATTTGAACATGGAAAGAGAGGGAAGCTCGGGTTTTCTTCTCTCTTCCAGCAGCCTTGTTCTTTGCATAAACTTCTCTGATATAACATAGTTTCTAAAACACTGAACCTGTATTCAGCAGATCCTGCAAAGTTCTTAATGATGCACAATTCCTTAATTCATTAGATGCTTCTGGATTTATTTTTACTTCTCAGCTATTAATTAATCTCTAACGAAAGTTTCATGGATGCTTATCATGTATGTGTATATATTGCTCATTGTTAAGTTCAAACGAGATACAGATGACAAAGTGAGAAAAGGTAGCCAGATGAAGGCAAGAAAACATAGGGTACTCTCCCAAGGCCTAGAGAAATGCAATGTTCATAGCATCTGAGATATCGAAAAGCTGCTCCACTATAAACAGACTTCTCCCCTGTCTGGTTAATCCTCCACCTTGACTTGTGCTGGCAGACGGTGAGTGACGGATGTTGTGAGCCCTGCAGCCCACCCAGGACACTGTGTGCTTGGCAGACTCCCTGGAGTTTTCAAGTTTTACTTGCATCTAATCAGCAAAGTCTCCTTCCAGCCCAGAAGCATGAGCCAAAAAAGGAAACTAAACTGTTTCAGTAATGCTTGGTATCCAACAGGATAAGGAATTGTTTTTCTTGGAGGAAAACTCCCTTTTGCTTCATACCTTAAGTTGATCTTGCCTCACTCACTACCTCATCATCTTCCATTTTGAGCCCATGGTTAGTTCCTGTCGCATACCTACCTACAAGTTTTCTTCTTTGGAAGGGGGAGAAAGACTAGATGGAAAAATCGAGTTTATTTACATCAACTTGCTCTTTGAGATTCTGGAAGATAAGATCTTTGCTTAAATTTCCTAGAATAAAATATGTATCTTGGCTTTTGCCGTATCCCTAGGACTTAATAGAGCATTTGGCACATTGTAACTGTTAAATAAATAAGAGGGCTCTTCAGAAAGCTTACAGAAAATAAAATAGAAAATAACCTCATTTCGCTGCTAAAAATGAAATCTATGCATAGTTTCTGCACAATATGCATTTTCCATTAACCTTTTGAAGACCACACATATACACGGCTTTCAAAATATTTTTGTACCGAAGTAAATTTAGGTTTTTATTCCTTTTTCCACAAACTTTCTGAAGCTCTGCTCTCATATATACTATGATTGAGGAGATGAGCAACAAATACATAAAATCAGCAACTTGTTAAAGGAAAAGCTGATGAAAAATGATTGTGTCCTAGCAACAAGGAAACGTGCAACTTGCCTTAGAATTGATTTTTTTGTTGCTATTTTGAAATCTTTGACTTTTTGGAAAGCAATTTAATCAAAACACTCAGCATGTATACTTACCTATTGGAAAACAAATTTATTAGCAAGTGAAATCTACTTTGCTTAAGAAAGTGATTCTAATGGAAAATAATTCCAAATATCCTAAGAAGAATCTATTTTGCATCTGTTTTTGGTGGGTTTTTTCCACTTTGCCCCATGGCTTAGATTCCTTGCAATCTGAAGACTTTTTTCTTCTGCAGACTTGAAGTTGGCCTAGTCTTTTGGTATACTGTTTGCTTGGGACTCCTGCATTCTGTGGTAGCGTGTTGGGTTTCCACTTACAGTGCCATTCCCTAGATCAGTCTCCTGCTGATGCACATCCTAGGAGTTAGCCGCAAAGGCCCGAATCGTTGGTCTCTGCCACCCACGTGGGAGACTGCGCGGATGTTTGTGGAGTGAACCTACAGGACATTTCTCTCACTCTCTGTCTCTCTTTCTCTCTCTTTTTCTCTTATTCTGTTTGCATGCCTGTGTGCACATGTGTGTGAGTGTATGTACATCTGCATTTCAAATAAACTAGATAATTTTTTTAAACATCTTTCTGTTATGGTCTCTGCATGCGCTGCCCTTGAGAAATAAACTGATGTGTGCAAAGCTCAGATTTCTCTTGGGTTCTAAATATCTGCACCTGCTTTCTCTTTCTAATTAATTCTGTGTGTGTACAAATCATTTCATTTAAACACAAAATTTATTAAAGGAACCATAGGGAACAACTCCCACGTTATCAAGTGCCTATAAATTGTGTGGGAACTGGTAGATAAGGCTGTACTATTGTTGGTCCATGAGAAAAGTTTTTTTCTCTCCCACTTTACAGTGCATTTATTCAACAGGGCCCTGGGCTTCCGCTGTTTCTGCTTGATTGCCAGGTGTGAAAAGGACATTGATGAGTGCGCCTCTAACCCGTGCTTCAATGGAGGGCTGTGCAGGGACCTACCCAACAGATTCCAGTGCCTCTGCGATGTGGCCTATGCCGGCGAGCGCTGTGAGCTGGACGTAAGCGGTTTGTCCTTCTATGTGTCTCTGCTGCTCTGGCAGAATCTCTTTCAGCTTCTGTCATACCTGATCCTGCGCATGAATGATGAGCCTGTGGTCGAGTGGGGGGAACAGCAAGAGTATTAGCGTCCTTTGAACATTCCTAAATGTAAAAACCACTGATCTGCAGGAGATGCCTGAATTCATTTGGGTCTCTTTCTAAAAAGGCAAATAAAAGCCATCTTGTGAACACACAAGTTCAAGGCTGATATTAGGATTTTAAGTATGCCACAAGTCTTTTGTGTGTTTGCAGAATATTTTCTTATATCCAGCTTTAAATATGGAAAATGATCACTCCTAACATCACCAGAAATATCTTATGATCGAGGGTTATTAGCACAAATCTATTACCTTGCTTAAAACTACACTGTTAGAACAGCCACTGCAACAAAAATCAATTAATCTTCTTCCCACTCCACTTGTGTCTGTGTATATTTTCATTTAAGTTGCTGCCATTCCTCATGACCCCATTTTCATTTATGTTCTTCGTTCTCATCTGGCATGAGACTCTGAAAATTACCACAGATTGCTTTTGTATCTTCCTCTGTCTGTGTACAAGGCTCTTCAAATCGCTGTGGCCAGTTATCTGGTATGTCATTAACGTGTAAGGAGGTGGCAGGGCCTTTCATCCCTAAAACGTGTAGAAAGAGAATGAGCTGGTGTCGGGTCTCAGATGTGCCTTCTAAAACCTCTGCGCCAGCAAAACAATACACAACTCCTTCTCCATTTCTTTTTTCCATTTTTATATTTTCCAACAATTAGAATGATTTTGTCAATTATAATTTATATGTTTTTTTTTTAATTTTTCTACCAAATCATTGATTCCAGTTGCTTTTTAACATGTTCTATAAAAAGTAAGGACTGAAGTTTATGCACACACTGAAAGGCATATATTTTGAAATTTAAATTTTCTTGAAGGTGCATTTTTCTAAAAATTTATCTTCTTGAAATCATTAAAAGAAGATAAAAACATAATGCCTATTATGATAAAATATATTCTACATTATGATCTAACTAAACTGATAGGTTAATACAGTACATTCACAAGACAGGCAAAAATCAATGTATCATGCTTAATTTATTACAGATTATAAGGCAATCATCTGAAAAATATTCTTTCCAATATTTTAATTATTTTAACAAGCACAGTATCAGTCATGGTATACGTTTTTGTGTGGTTGCATCCTCACAAAGGGAGTGTTATTTGCATTCAGGTAAAAGAAAAACACATTAATCCTATGATGAATTCAGAATGCAACTAAAATAACACGTGGCTGCGGAATGCCACTTTGTCAGTGTATGTGTGTCCTCAGGAGCTTCAGGAAAATGTGCTCATTCATTGGATGATAGTCAATACTCATTTAGTCCTGATTATTTAAGAAAACTTTTTTCTGTGAAAATTGTCAAGGTAAACCTAAATATACCATCTGAACAGAAGATTGAAATAGCACGCTGTTAAAATAAGACAAATGTACTCTATTCTATTGTGCAGTGGTAATAGATTTTATATTGCAAGTTCATATCCCATGAAGCGCTGGCAGTTTTTCAAACTGGGAAAAACTAATTTTGAAGTCTTTTCCTCCATACTCATCCCCCTTCCCCACATCCAAGGCTGCATGCTGGGGGTCTCTCCTAAAATGGGACTTCGTGGTGAGCGACTTAGACAACCCTTCTCAGCAATCTAGTTGTGCAGAAGCCCCTGCAATTAGCACGGAACAGATTATGGACAAACATTTGGATGGTTTTCACATTCACTTGCTTTTAGATGTACCTGAAGTTATGTCCGTATAGTCCTTTCCAAATATAATGTGCTCCCTACGAAACATATTTTTTAAATAATTGCTCATAATCTCTTTCTCTGTATAACCCGATGCCTCCATAGTCACTGTAGTTCGTGATCACTTTCCTATTTTTCAACTGTCTTTCCATGAGATATCTAACTTAAGAGAACACACTGTTTTCGCTTTACTCTCTGCATTTCCAGCCGCACTGAGTGTGACTATGGCTTTTACGCATTTGCATAGAGAAATAAAACCTTTGTTTCTGCGTCTTCTCTATCTCATCCTCTGATGATGCCTGTCTTTATTGGCCTCACTAGTGACTTGCACGGTAAGATATCTGCAAGCCAGGCACATGTGTGTATGCACACACATACACACGGCATGCACACACACCCCTGAAGAACTCATCTTCCTGAAATGTGATCCCTATTCACAGATGGATGACTGCAAATCAACACCGGTGACATCAAGGTCAAGGCAAGATGTTTTGTTTGTTTGTTCTGGCAGGTAATTCTCTAGTTAGCATTGCTGGCAATCTTGGTTGCTCTCATAGCCTATGATGACATCCCTGTCAAAGCTAGTCCTATTTCAACCTTGTCCCATGGAAGCCAACCTCTCATCCAAGTGACAGGCTTTCGTATAAACTTCTCTGAACCCAACTGCTGAAACATAGTCTGTATTTAGTTGAATAGAAGCAAATTTCATTTTGTTCACTTTTGATGTTTAACATCCACACTAAACAGGGAAATGATGAGCTTTTGGCCATGCATCTTCATCCTTTGAATGTGTACAAACAGGTGGTACCACCACATTCTTTCTTTTTTTAATGGAGATGCAGAGAGAACAGACAAGTTCAGCGGAGTCAGTATTTATTTTGATAGCGTGTAGGTCCAGGCAACTAAATTCAGCAAACACTATGGAACACTTACACAAGGCAGAAACCGTTCCAACATCTTTATGAATACATAATTTTTCAATGTGTGTGCGTGTGTTAACTCATCTCCAAGGATCTTTAATAGATTTTGTTGAAAGTTCCCTTGGCCACTTCTGTGTCTTAAAATAGATGCTTATTCAGCTTTAATTTTCATGAAAGTAGATGATGAGTTTTCTACAAACTCTGCTGTGCAAAATCGTGGTTCAGTCATTTAGGCAGGATAGTGGGGAGAGACATTTGTTGCTTACTGGCCAGGGCCATTTCCTACAGCAGGAAACGGCTGGAAGTGTGGTGGGAAGGAGGTCGTCAGAGCTCACAGAAGGAGCCCTGATATGCCATGGCACAGACTTCTGTTCCGACTTGAGCAATGGAGCAATTTTAAAGTGCTTCAGACAGAAAAGTGACATGATCTCATGTACATTGCTGAATGATCCCGTGGGCTTCTCCAGAGAGGTTGGGTTAAAAGAAAAACAACACATGAGGAGGCACAGTGAGGAGGCACAGTGAGGAGGCAGTTGCAGTAAAACATACATGAGGAAGGGAGGGTCTTTACCACATTAAATTGTCAAAAGCCATGTGCACGGGGCATAGGTGAACAACATCTGAGGCAGAAAGGACCTGTGATTGTCTGCAAGAAAATATAATGGGTCTGAGGGGGTGACAAGTTAAATTTGATGAATGTTAGCTTGTAAATAATTGTTGATTAGATACATGAATGACTCTAAATTTCTGTGGGACATCCAAGTTTTTGACTCCTCATTCCTGAATTCAAGAAAATACATTCGAGTTAGGATCCACGTGTGACCCATTGCTATTGTTTGTCTGCTGTTCTCTAATGATAATACCTCAAACGCAGTGACTGAAGCCAACACACACTTGCTCCTTCACAGTTTCTATTGGGCTGAGAACCTCATTAGGCTGTGGGTGGTGAAGCTGCCAACCAGAGGTGTGGTCTCAGCAGGGCACAAGTCCATTTTCAGGTATACACAGCTTGGCGGCAGCTCTCAGCTGCTAGAGGCAATCTCAGTTCCTCATCACGTGGGGGATTGGCCAAGCTGTCTATTGACTTCCTCCCCAACAGAGGAAGATTCCAGCAAGGTCAATGTTCCATCCTTAGGCAGGCCAGTTATGTAACCATGTATTTCACCTTATTATGTCATCTGTTGGTTAGAAGCAAGTCACAATTCCCAGCCACACTCACAAGGAGAGGATTGTGTGAGGTGCACCAGGTGGTGAGGCTGTGGGGACTCTTTCACTCCCTGTAATTGCATTCTCTGTGTGTTCCTGTTTCTAGCCTCCAAGCACTGACGCTCCATCTGTGTATCATCCATTCATTGATGGATTTTTAATTTCAGTTACTTGTTTAAATTCCTAGCTACTATGACCACCCTGCTGATCTGCTTTTCTGTTTGCATCCTGTTTTATTCTAGTAGCTATCCTTTCTTTAACTTTTTCTACCCATGAAACTGTTAATAGTCTTTTTCAGATTGCTATAACATCTCAAGCTCCTGGAGGTCTCGTACTCCTGTTTGTGTTTCTGCTGAGTTCCGACAGTTTTTCCTGCGTGTTTTGTAATCTTTATGGGCGAACACAGCTTGAGGAGCATTTTGTTCCTCTGCGAGTCCTTGAGTTCTGAACTGCAGAAATGCCCAACTGTAGTCACGGCTGTCATCTTGTTTGGGCAGCCGGAGTTTTGAGCAGTCAGTGCTGGGTTTTTGTGCACAGTTTGGGGATTTTCATAGCATCAAGAGGTTGAAAATTTTATCTTCCCATTTGATTTGATGGAAGCCCGTCAATAACTATGACCCAGACAACCACTCCATTCCCCTCTGCTCTTCTGTTTTCTCACAAACTCCACTCCTGCCACATGGCGCTTCTACCTTTCCTTGGAGCTTCCCTACAACGTGTCCACTTCCTTTGTATGCCATTCCCCCAACATAAAGAGCTTTCCCTTTTCTGCCTGACAAATTCTATATTCCCTAATATTTTAATGACCAATACAATACACCTTGGGGGACCTGTCCCTGATGGTTTCGGGAAAATCCTACTGAACTTTCCTTCCAGTTTTAAGATTTATTTGTGTTGGAAAGACAGATTTACAAAGAAAAGACACAGGTATAATGATCTTCCTTCCACTAATTCACTCCCCCAAGTGGCCACAATGGTCAGAGCTGAGCTGATCCAAAGCCAGAGCATGTAGTTTCCTGCAGGTCTCCCACTTGAGTGTAGGGTCCCAAGGCTCTGGA